ATTGGAAAAAAAAAACAAACTAAAAAAACAACAACAAGGAAGCGTTAGAAGCATTCCACTCAGGATATTTTGGAGACAGCCCTTGACCCACTTACTGGAAGAGATTAATATTTGTTCCTACAGAATGTAAAAAATATAAAGCAATCATTGATATTCCATGCAAGTAAAATTTTTCAGTTGGCAGATTATAATGGCACTTCCAGACTAAGACAAACTAGGAAGGAAGATTTGTAAACCTCATTCTGAAAATTAGTCAGTGCAAGCCTTATGGACCACAAAGGAATAGTATCCAATACAGTCCTGGAAGACGATCCCATTAAGTTTGAAGTTATTCAAAATCCACAGTAAATCATAATAATAGATTCAAGGACACCAATGATTATCTAAGTGGAGTAGGGCTGTGTAACATTCTGTTCATTACATACTGGCTTGTCATAAGTCAGAGCTAATTTGACAGCACATGCTACAGCCTGCTCTGTCATATGCGAAACCCACAGTTACGCATGATTCATAACATTAGGACCTGATTTATCTGTCTTGGATATGTGCGATCTTGACAATTATTCTTAAAATAAGGTTTATTTCATGGAAATAGTAATGCAAGCGCACCTGATAATATGTCTGTCTCTCAGACAAAGCATCCAGATATTTTAAGGAGTTGACTCAATGTTTAAAATGTGAATCCAACCCCAAATTCTTCTCTTTATTTGCCTTATCTCATTGCACAATTTACTTATGTCATTGCACTATTTCCAATAGTGTCTGGGGTCTTAAAGTCTTTTCTTGAACAAGCAACCATCTCAGTGATATGTTAAGTCCACATGGAAGAATCACACCATCATCAGTCACCAAAGGATAGTAAATCATATAATCCAAAATCGAAAGCGGGATTAGTATCAGAGTCTAAATCGTGAGAATACAGTTTTCAGAAGGCTACAGACGACAGTGGGAGCCCAAGATGCATTTGTGGAACCACATAGGAAATAAGCCTTTGGTGACCTCCCTCCATCCACAATTGAGAGATGGGAGGAAAGTGGTTACTAAACTGAGTGTATTGGAGTGATGAGGATTGAAGATCAAAAGAAAAATCTGACTGAAGCAGTTAAAACAGTCAGTTGATCCCCACTCTGATGCATGCCAGACCTGATCTGGTCTTCAACATTTTGTATTTTTGTTGTTGTTCATATTGGGGTGTATCTCAGTGGTGATATGTCATTGGGGGTCACCCTCTTGCTGTTGTGCTATATGTTTTTCTGTGTTTCAGTATATGACACCCGGGATTGATGACCCTATAGGGACAACATGTAGAATAAGGGGAGGGTACAGGGGTGGAGAGGGAAGGGTAAAAGAGAGACGACATCAAGGAGTCCAGGAAGACAGGAAGGAAAAGAATGCTTGGAGGCTGATTGTGGGAGCAATTGTATAAATCTGCTTGACGTGATTGAGCTATGGAATGACGGATATGTATTAACTCCCAATTAATAATACATTAAAAAAATTGAAATCCAAGAAAATATCTGTGCACAAAATTTATATAGGAATATTTCAAAGTTGTGTAGATCTCCTTATAAGGATGCTGTGTTTTTTAAAATTATTAATCATTTTATTGTGTGTGGGGGGGGCTCTTAAAAATTTTATAACAATCCATCATTCAATTGTATTAAGCACACTTGTACATATGTTGCCATCAACATTTCCAAAACATTTTCTTTATACTTGAGTCCTTGGTATCAGCTCCTCTTTTTTCCCCTCCCCCACCCACTCTCCAACCCTCATGAATCCTTGATCGATTATACATTATTATTATTTAATATGATTGTTTATTTTTATTGTTACCTTCACCCACATTTCTGTTCTTTGTGCCCCTTGGGAGTGGTGGTGATTATATATCCAACCTTGTGATCGGTTTCCCCACCCCCTCCCTCATGGTATCAGCACTCACATTACGGTTCCTTGAGGCATTTATCTGTCCTGGATTCCATGTGTCCAGAGCTCTTATCTGCCTCAATTTGTAAAGTCCGGTCTAGTCAGATTTGTAAGGTAGAACTGGGTCATGATCGTGGTGGGGAAGAAGCATTCAGGAACTAGAGGAATGTTGTGTGCTTCACTGATGCTATACTGTATCCTGGTTGAATAATCTTTTCCTTGTGACCTTCCTGTGAGGGAATGTCCAATTGTCTACAGATGGTCTTTGGGTCTCCACTCTAACCTCCCTCATTCACATCAATATAATTGTTTGTTTTGGATTGTTTGATATCTGATACTTGATGTCGTTGACATCTCATTATCACACAGGCTTCTTCTATGTAGGCTTTGTTGCTTCCCGGCTAGATGGCTTCTTGTTTAAGCCTTTAAGACCCCAGATGCTGTATCTTTTGATAGCCGGGCACCATCAGCTTTCTTCACCACATTTGCTCATGCACACATTTGTCTTCAGTGATCAGGTCTGGAAGGTGAGTGTCACCAAATGCCAGGTTATTAGAACAAAGTAGTCTGTGTTTAGAGAGGCCCTGGGTAGAGGTCCAAAGTCTGTCTGCTATCTTAATACATAACATATAAATAGATGTACTTTGACCTATATCCCTATCATTATAAATTAATATATTTACATATACACACACCTATACCTGTACCTCTATAAGTAGCTTTTGCCTCCTAGTTCTTCCCTCTATTTCCTTTCACCTTCCTCTTGTCCCAAGGATTGATGTTTTCATCACTTGTATTATCCTTTCGGTCCAGTCCTTGATTTAGTGTATGCATTTATAAATAGAAGTATGTGAGTTACTATAATGAAACTGCTTTATTTTAGAAGTTGCATTGCTCTTAGAGGTTAGATATAACCATTCTGTGTCCATCTTCCTAAAGTAGTTTCCATTCTTTCTTCTCCTTCAATTCCATCACCTCCACTTTCCCACTGATGGTCTGTGGCTATTTTGTGGCTCGGTTAATATAGTGCATGTTTCTCCTCCAGCAACTGCTACTTGGTTTCAGCGCCTTTTTAAAAATCTTATGATCCACTGAAAACATCACTCCTGCTCTGCAGTACTACAGTCAGTGACTGGAGCACGCTCCCCTCTCGCCATCTTTTGAGCTCTTTCTCAGAGAGTGATGAATACATGCTCATTCTGCTCTGCTGACCTACAGGTGGAGCAGTGTTGTCAGATCTCATAATTATGGAGTTCTAGTCCTCTCTAAGCTCAACATAGTGGTAACACACATTTTTCCCATAAAAATATGGAAATGCATATTTCCAAGAAACAGAACTATAAAATAGGGACTTCTTAAACCTAATGCTTTTTTGGTTATATTCATTAAACACTGTCCAACAAACTTCTTGAAATAAATCGGTCCTCTATATGTTTGATGGTAATTATTTACTAAATCAGTGATTCTTTTTAGTTCTTTGACTTGCAAATTTTAAGACATTGAATTTTGTATACACAGCGAGAAGGAATGATGGCAAGCGGTAGGACATGCTGTGATAGATCACTGTGTGCCAGAGCACAGTGTTTGAGGTTGGTCAGTTTATCAAACAGAAGCATGGGTGGTGAGGTGGTTAAACTTGATGTTGGCATAAAAACTAGTGAGCTAAGTGTCAAGTTGCAGTCTTGAATTTGGAAATAAACTGCTCTTTAACTTACATAGTTTAAAGGAGTTTTTAAGCTTGCCACAGTGACAAAAGCAAGATTTTTATTAGTACTAAAATTGTAAGTAGGCACAAGAGATGTCAATCATGATGTATGAGATTCATTCACTCATTCACTCATTCATCCGTGCCTTTTTATTTGCCGACTACTATACTTGATGACGAAAAAGTTTATCCAATAAAACAGAGATTCACTGAAAGTGTTACAATTGGAAACGAAGGTCCTTACAATAGAAAATAAGCTAGTTTGGATATGAAAAATTGGTTCATTTACAGTTTCTGCAATGATTATATCTTCAGTCTGAGTAATAAGAAAGCATAATATATGCCCTTAGTAAAGTATTTTCTAAAGAAAACTATTGTAATTGCTGATGAAATACAATGCTTTCATTATAACCAATAAACAAAACCTCTGTGATTGTGTTTAAAAGACGCCAACATCCTTGGGATATAAGAAAGCCTTTGTGCCATCTACTAAAGTAAAAACATATGTGTCTATTTCTTTAACATCAACTGTTTGTGCAGATCTCATCCACAGGGTAAAATGCAAGATCAGGTTTTCTAGTTTTCTTTTGATTTTGTTTTCCACAAATTCTGATGCAGGAAAGGGATTCTGTGAGAAGCAAGGCAGGATTTCTGCACATTTTAAATCATAGTGTGAGTTTGATGAACTGCTTTTTCTTAATCCTAAAATAGCATCGCAGAGGCTTATTATATGACTTATTTATAAAATGTTGCTCTAAATGTAAAGGGTGGACATCTGTCACTATTGAAGACATTAAAATAAGGTGGCAAAGCTCAGAACCCCCAAATTCTAATTATTAGATCTAAATGTATTTTAAGCAATACTTTTTGGTAATGTATCCAAAAGTTAAGCGCTTTTTGATAGATAACATCAGGATAAATACATTAGAAGCATGTGACAATGTATTTTATTAAAAGTACACGTTTAGAGTGAGATTTCACATGAAACCAAATTGTGTGCAACTAAAAGCAATGGCTTGAATTTTCAGGGAACCTTCTTCCTGATGACATTTGTATTAATAGTGATGCATTTCCCCGTTTAGAGTCTCCTATTTATCTCCTTTCCTTCTGCGAGTTGGTTAGAACCGCTTGACATCTAAGCTAATCTCAAGATTCTGACTGTGGTATGTGCTGAGTAAGCAAATAATTCTCCTATGGCATAACACACTGAGTGTATTTTGGAAAGAGTTTCAAGAGGGCGTTACAAATAATTAGAAACAAATATTCGAACTCATTGGGATTTTACAGAGCTCACCAATGAAATTTAGTTCAGGTACTTTTTTGAGATGTGTTCATTTCCATCCCTTGCAAATAATTTTTTTTTTCTCACCAGTTTTGTAGCTTCATGGGCCAGACCTTTGGCTTCTTTGGCAATTCTCTCCGCTTCTTCGATATTGTCCTTAATGTTGCTGTAAGCTTTGAAGGCCACAGTGGCATTGAAGGAGATGTTTTTAGCCTCATCAAGGATTCTGTTGGGATATCCCACACACACACAAAACAAAGACATCAACTCAGTCCTCATGCGAAGAACATCCTACTTATAACAAACATGGCTTCCAAGTGACCACTGCCAATATAATTGGGTGAATCCCAAACCACACTGCAGAGGTATTTACTTATCATATTGTGTTGTGGGTCGCAACTCAAACTCATTCCTAAATAATCTAGCTGTGATTGGAACTGATCATTTGTATTTCCATTTTAATGAACTATAAAACTATAACATCCATAACTATATATCTAACAACATCTGCCAATTCAATGTTTTAGGGTATTCAATTTAGTGGTCTCAATTACACTAATTATGTATGCAGTGTGACCACTGCTACCAACACGTCTAGCAAATACTTAGAACATCTCCCCAAAGATTCAGTGACTAAAACCATTCAGGCATGTGGAGTGAGAGAATCCTTTATGTTTATTTGTGAACCATGCTACACGTTTTAGAGCCAGATGGAATTTAGAGCCCTCGTTGCCAGAATAAATTTCACAAACTCTAGATAATACAAATGACATACTCTCCAGAAGAGGGAAAATTAATCTCAGGTTGGCTACATGGCTCACTTCAGGTCACATGACCAATAAAACCGTAAATAATTAAGGATGAGAGCTTGGATCTCTGACTTCTGGCTCACAGCTTCATCAATCACAGTACCCCATAATATGAACCATGTTGTGCATGCCATGCTCAGAATTTAGAAATATTAATACTTACCTTTGTATTACATGAATATTTTATGTATTGAATAGCATCACCCAAGAAGAAATGTGGAAACCCTAGTGTTTCAGTGATTAAGCTCTCAGCTGTTAATGGAAAAATTGATAGCTCAAACCTACCAGTCACTCTGGGCAAGGCAGATATGGAATTCTGTTTCCATAAATACGATAGCCTTGGAAATCCAATGGGACAGCTCTACTGTCCTCTAGTACAGCTATGAGTAGGATTCCGAGAAATAGGACCCTCTTTGGAAATAAGGGTTGGTTCTCTTTGCTATTGGAATGCATTCACACCAGAGAAAAGTGAGCCCTAAACTTAATCCCTCTGTGTGGCATCTTAGGCAAAGAGCAACATAAACATAGACATGTGCAGGAGCACACAGATGCCTGATGAGGACCCATCTACGGCACAGGGACAGTAAGGACTGCCACCAGACACCACAAATGAGACAAGAAGCCCACACACTCAGATTTGGGGTTTTAGCTTTCTGATATGTGAGAAGACTTTTCTGTACTTTAGAGACACCTGCCTGTGCTATAGTTTGTTATGACATACTAGGTAACTAAATACTAAATACTACCTTTGCACAGGGTGGGTATTAAATACAAATACATTTTGGAAAATGATCCTTTGGACACCTAGCACCTATATTTATCATGACAAACACCAAATTCCTCTATATACTAGAGGGAGCATATAGGAATTACCTAAAGAGCTGCTTACAAATCCTATATGCCCTTCCCATTTGCCCATCCCTCCATTGTCCTATTTAAGAATCTCATCTATAAAACTAGAAAACACATAGCGAGCCTATAGGCCGCTTCATAAAGTTTCCAGGGCTGTACGTTTTTATCCAAATATATTTATTGCTTCATCTCTCCCCCAATGGAGTGATTGGTGGGTTCGAACTGCTGACCTAGTGGTTAGCAGTCCAACCCACCAAGTGACCAGGGCTTGATCCCAGAGAGAGTGAACTCTTTGGCAATGAGGGGTATGCAGTGTCTCCCTGACGTCTGGAACAGAGAACGAAATTAAAACTCACTAGCTGAAAGGCTGTATATGTGGGAACATTTTTCCCAAAGCCACCCTGTAAAGAAGGAATAATTTTGAATCCATTAGAAATATGAAACTGAAATTCGAGGCAAAATGTGTGTTTACATATCATTATTTAAAATGCTAATAGGACAACCACTGTGCTTTCTAATAAAGAACAGGATTTGTTTCCCCTAAGTGAAGCCTCAGGCCATGTTCACTCCCTGGGCAGCCAGGTTTGCACCCGCTTTTAACTCAGCCTTCTGATGCCGCTCCTGAAGCGCTTTGCCCTGATTCACCTAATTAGGCTCTTCCACAGAAAGGCCTTGTAGCTCGCATGTGGATAATCACAGAATCAAGATTGGAAAGCAGTTCTGTACCTTTCTTTAGCCTCAAAACGTTTGAGCAAGTAACAACACACATAGACATTTCTTCTGATACCCAGTGACATACCCATTGAGGACGGCGGAGGAGTCATGCAACTGAGCGGCGTGGCTCTCAGCCTGCGACACCTTCTCAGCAAGCTGCTTGTCCTTGATGGCGTGGGAGAGGTCATCTGTTTTATTGCTAAGCTCGTCAGACATGGGTGGCAACTTGGCTCGAATGTCCTCAACATACTAATACGTAGAGAAGAGGGGACACTGTCAGCAAGGGACTCCGAGTCACCTCTGCTTTTCACTAGGTTCTCTAAAGCATGATTCTACGCACTTGTTATTTTAAATGAGAATTCAAACGTACTAGCATAGCAAAAAAGATAATGTAGAAGAAAAACACCTATTTGATGAGGATAGCAATTAAGAAATTTATGAAGCCAACTTACACCAAGAAGAACTTAATTCTCTAAAACTATTTCTTTTTACTTCTTAGGTATAAATGAATAAATAATAGTCATTTGGAACTTTTAGACCATTTTCATTTCTATTACTATATATAAAATAGCTATGTGTAATGCATGAGACACTGTGTTAGCAAGTCTGTTTGTAAAGCTACATTTCCCTTTTAACGAATGTTATATAAATATTGAAGTAGATTTTTAAGTGCTGCCCTAGGAAAAGTAAGATATTGTAAAAATGCAGGGTTGTGTGTATATATGACTAATAGGAGATGAAGTAGAGATGAAAGAACAAATAATAAATTAGCATTTGCTCATAATTCAGAGGCTTATCATGGTTTCCCATTGATGGGCACTTATCACATTGTCAAGGATCTGTTAATTGCACCTTCTCAAATACTTACGTCCATCACCGAACTGATGCCATCTGCAAGGCGATTGGCTTCATCAAGTATGTCGTTACTTGCTTTTAATGTGTTCTCAGTTTGCTGTTTGTCACTTTCAAGGGCCTCCTTCATTTTCTGTAGCACAGTGTGAACAAAGTATGAAAATGCCATTTGGGTAAAATCTCACCCAACCCTAACTTCCTGGCTTTCCTGAGATAAACAGGCCAAAGGACCAAACTTCACAAACCAGTTATATTATGTTGACAATTATAGTTAGATGCGAACAATGTAAATTATCATCCAGTAACAATATTGTTACATCCATATTGATGTAAATTGTCCATATTGTTACATCAATATTGATGAAAATTAAGTGCTAAAATGAACTCTTGAATTTCGGGTAGTATCTTGAATTCCATTGGAACTACATATATAATTTCAGATAAGCACCATATATACTCGAGTACAAGTCAACACAAATATCAACCCAGGCACCTAACCTTTACCACAAAAACGGCATTAAAAATGTGCTGAAAAACTCAGCTTATACATGAGAATATACGGTACTTTGTTAGTATAAATATAACTAGATTTATTTCATAGGGATTCTATCAAATTGGAAGTAGAAGGATGTGTAATGTGTGGGGGAGGTGATTTAAAATTGTATATACCTAAACCATGCAGAAGTTTCTAATTCTTCAAACTTTCCTTTGAAGAAAAGAAAGAAAAGAATTCAGAGTCATAGGCATTTACCCAAATGCCACAATATTTCTTCTGATAGACACATCAACTAGCAACTTCTTTTCGGGGATGAAACTCAGTTCGACCACCCTATGAACCAGACAAATGCAGAGGCCACTGATGCGGAGCACGGAGAGAGGTGGACTTCCCATTCCTAGAAGTGAGCTGTAGGCCAGGTTGTTCCTGACCACCTCTAATAATTTGGCCTCTATATTTTATTTACAAGTCTCCACGGAGCAGGGGTCTGACCACTCACATTGTTGTTGTTAGCAGTTCTGACTCTCAGCGATCATACGCTCCACAGACTGAAGCAGGTTCCGTCCTGTGCCGTTGTCACACGTGCTGCCGTGTTTCAGCTGATTGTTGCGGGCACTGTGTCACCCGCCCCCCTCCCTGAGGATCTTCTTTTTGGCTGACATCTACTTCAGCGAGCATGATGTCCTTCTCAGACACAGGTCTTTCCTGATAACATGCCCAAAGTACGCGAGAGGAGCTCTTGTCGTCTTCACTCCCAGGGAACATTTGGCTGTTTTAAGAAAGCATACCTCTTCTAAGGCAAATTTGTTCATTCTTACTCGCCAACACTCTAATTCAAAGACATCAGTTCTTCAATATTACCTATGGATTTCCCGGCTTTCCCATGCATATGACGTAATTGAAAAATCATGACTTGGGGCTGGTAGACCTTAGTCCTCAAAATGACAGCTTTTCTTTTTAACATTTTGAAGAGGTCTTTTGCAGCAGATGTGCCCGGGAAAATTGTTGGATTTCTTGCGTGCCGTTTCCACTGAAATAGATTGGAGACCCAGTAAAATGAAATCTCCGTGGCCATTAGTGTGGTGCAGCCTGCACTTTCCACTAAAGATCTGTTGCTTCAGGCCTCAGAAATGGCATTTTATTTGTTTTCTCAGTTGAGCTCTGACGATGCTTACCTCAGAACATAGGAAAGATGATTAACACAGGGGTTGCTGGGCTCCACTCTCAGTTTCTGGGTCAATAGATATTTTCGGTTGTTGCGTGAGAGTCTGCATTTCTTACATGTCTCCAGGCGATGCTGTAGCTGGTGGGAGGAGGACTGCACCGTGAGGACCAGCGTGGAAGATCATTGCATGCTGTTATGTTTAGCCTATAAGTGCTAGATAAAGGTTTTAAACATTCTCACCCCCTTCCAATAAAATAAGTAAGTTGTGTCTTTATTATATCCTCTTCTTCGTAGGCACCAGTACGCTCAAACCATAGATGTTAAAAAATACCACATTGTTCAATCCAATGAGGACCATGCCGCGGTTCTTCTCCGAGCTGCATGCAGGAGCCGCCGACCACCGTGAGCGGAGTCACTTCCCAGACCACTACTGACTCGGCCTTTCTCTCCAGGTGATTATGTGTCCCCCAGTTTGGACTGACCACGGAGCCCTGGTGTGACTGGTGCATTCTCCGCTGCTAACTGAAAGGTCATAGTCCCTTTGTGAGAGAAAGTGTGACACTATGCTACTGTAAACATTGTCACCTCGGGGGCAGTTCTGTTTGTCCTTTAGCATCACTATGTCCTTTAGGAATCAACTCAATGACAACAGGCTTGGCCCTTTCATCTTGCCTCCCCCGCCCACCTTCCTTTTTGTTTTCAGCACTGAGCTTGACAATGGACTTCTCGTTCTTCTCACGTGCCATCAGAGCTTTGAGCCAGTTCTGCGTCCCTGTGGAGAACAGAACAAAGCGCTGCCCGCATCCGGGCCTCTGCAGCTTCATTCCTATGTTTGAGCCCATTTTGCAGCCATCGTGCCAGCCCGTCCATCTTGCAGAGGCACTTCCTCTCTGTGGCTAACGCAGCTAATTTACCAGGCATGATGTCCTTCTTCAGGGACGGGTCCCTCCTCATAGCGTGTCCAAATACGGGAGATGAAGCCCCACAATCCTCACTGCTACAGCACATTCGGCCTCTGCTTCTCCCCAGTCAGACCTGCTTGCTCTCTGAAAGTCTGTGACATACCCAATATGTTTTGCCAACACCATCATTCAAATCCATCAAGCCATCTTCGATCTTCCCTACTCATCGTCCAGCTTTAGCAAGCCTAGTAGGCCATAGAAAACGTTGCCGGGGGAGACGTTGTTTCCAGTCCTACCCTACAAAGAAGGAGTCTTGCCTTCTACTGACCACGAGAGGCACAGAGTTTCCACAGGAGAGTTAGAGATGAGAGCCAGCTGCTAGCTGCTGGCAGCAAGGCGAGCCTGTGCTGCACATACCCTCATCTCCGCAAAGCTGGGGGGGGTATGTGTCAGAGGGTTTATCTCTCCTGAAGTGCAGCAGGAAACTTATTCATCAACAGTCAGGGGAAAGGGGAAGTTTGCCTAGAATATGCTGGGTTATGTTAACATAGTAGGCACATAGTTGCTCTTCAAACTGAACTCTACTTGCAAGGGGTTCTGGTACCAGAGGGCAGACCTTACTGTGCCTGCTTGCTGTGGTCCTTGGCAGGCAGTCCCCCGCTCCTCTGGCTTTATGTCGGGGCACTGTGGGCTTTTTTACTGCACATGGTTGGCACCTGAGTTTTCTGAAAATCTACTTCAGAGGAGCTCGAGAGAAGGTGGTGGTTAACGCAACTTTCCTGTTCCTTTCAGGATGTGGGTTTGAGCAGGGCCGTGTGGTTTTCAGCTGGTCTGTTGGTCGCAACTTTCTGTGGACGATTTCAAGATGATCTAGCCAAGGCTCCCACTCTACCTCAAAACTACCAAGGTCTTTGCTAGCTCTCAGGCATCACTGTAAAGGTGATTATGACAGATGTATTTAGGTGAAAATGTCGCTTCCTATATAATTTAATTATAATGAAGTCTCACAATTATAATTATAATAATCATATAATTTAATCTCCCTTTTGATCCAGTCAGTCACTCTGAGAGCTAAAGACGAGACTGTAACTCCCATAAAGAGTTACAGTCTTGGAAACCCACAGTGGCAATTCAACTCCGTACAGTAGGGTTGATATGAGTCAGACTTGACTTAATGGCAGTGGCTTTGGATTGGTTTGGTTTCACCCATTTTAAAGTTGTTTCCATTTCTAATATTTTCTGCTTTCTTTGCAATCGGGTGTCCCTGTTTTGTTTTGTTGTTGTTTTCATTTTGGTTGTCGTTTTCTTGTGTTTTGTATGGCTTTCTGTATATGAAATCCAGGGTAGGTAAATCTATAGAAATAGTAATTGGATTAATAATGATGTGGGTGCCTGGCAGTGGAGGTCAGTGGGAAATGGGGATCTACTAATGAATACAACAAAGAAGAAAATGTTCTGAAGTGGATTGTGATGATGATTGCAATGCTTTTCTTAATATGATTGAACTACAAAATTGTGTAATATGTGAATATGTGCCAATACAACTATTAAAAAATCCCAAGGCTTGGCTGATAAACTTGACACTCCTTAAAGAACACATAATGGCTTTTCAATATGTTTATTCGATCTTTTGCAGGATACACATTAGACTGTTAACTGCAAGGTCAGTAGTTCAAACACACCAGCTGTTCTGTGAGAAAAGATGAGGCTCTTTGTCCCATAAAGATTAGAAGTTCTACTCCGTCTTATAGGAATCTATTCATGGAAGTGGCCTTGGTTTATGAGTATTGAAGCAAATTTTTCCAATACAATATGCTATCTGACTTCTTGCTCCCATAGACATTGATTGTGGATCCAAATAGAGATAAATCTTTGAGAACTCCATTTTTTTTTCATTTATTACACTGTTCCTTTTTTCTTTGGTTGTGAAAATCTTTGATTAGGTTATACTGAGGTTTAGCCCATACTTAAAGGAAAGCCTTCATCTTCCTCACTAAGTTCTTCACGTTCTCTTCCTTTCAGCAAGCAAGACTGTGTCATCCGTCTAGCGCAGATCAGCAATGCGTCTTCTTCCAATCCCAGTGCTGTGTGCTTGCTTCTCCGATCATTTGTTCCACACACAGATTGAATAAACAAGGTAAAATTACACAACCCCAATGCATACCTTCCTGATTTTAAAACATGAAGCATCCCCTCATTCCATTCGAATAAATGCCTCGTGGTCTATGTACAGGTTCTGCATGAGCACAATTATGGGTTCTGTAGTTCCCATTTTTTTCATAATGTTATACACAATTTGCTATGATCCAGACAGTTGAATGCCTTTGCACAGTCAGTATAACACAGATAAACATCTTTCTGGTAGTCTCTGCTTTCAGACAAAATCCATCTGATATTGCACATTTTCCTTTCTGTCAGCTTCCCTTTGATGAATAGCTGTAACTTGAATTACCTTCAACAAAACTTTATTTGAATGTGGAGTAATTTCCACATTCTGTGGGATCTTTTTTCTTTTTGCACAGGCAGGCACAGATATGAATCTCTTTAGGTCAGTTGGACAGGTCGCTGTCTTCCAAATTCCATGGTAGTCTCCAACATCCCATTCACTGTCTGGCACATCACGACTGGTGTTCTGTGCAGTGCTGGAGTCTTGCTTTTCACTGATGCCTTCAGTGTCTTCGGTTCTCGAATGATGGTACCTCCTGCAGGGGCGGTACAGTGTGTACCTGTGCGTGCAGTGACTATGTGTCTACCCTCCATCTCCTTTCCTTTGAACCAGTGATGGATTTTGTTCACTGATTGAGGACGGCTAAGCCTCTTAGAAAAGCCACGTGTTCAAGATCCAAGGGGCTAGCGCTCACCTCCCAAGTTAGTGGATGTTCACTGTTTTCAGACTTACCCAGATGAATTAATTAACCCCAAATTGACCCTAAAGAATACCAAGTCCTATGTCTCAGACATAATATTGTAGAATAATGTTATACTTTTATTATGATATTTTAAAAAGTCACCATAGTCCATGTAAATAGTTTTGTGTCTATTCTTCTTTGACTTCAGCAAATAGAGTGAATACAAATTCTTTAGGTAAACTTTAAATTTTTTCATGACTTATCATTTGTTTTCCTATTTTCCTCAATGTAATAGTTTTACAGTTGGCTTCTACTCAGGCCTTTAATCCATTTGGAATTTATCTTTGGGTGGAATGTATCATTGGCTAGGGTACCGGTGACCACTTGTGAAGGCAAAAGAGGGAGGCCATTGGGGAAGTTGAAGACAACCACTGTAGTGCATGCAGGGATGTGGTCAAGGAAGGACCCCCGAGGTCTGTGCTGGCCCTGAGAAAAGCTGCACTGGAGGCAGGTCTTGTGTGATTTCTATTTCAGGCTCAGTTCACCCACAACCTGTTGGCTTGACTGCCCCTAGTCCACCTTCCTTAGTTACGGTGTGTTGTTCGATAACTGGTCCATCATTGGCCTTCAGAAACCTTAAGGAAGTTGCTGCATTCTTGTTAATTTTTTGAGGTTCTTCATTAACTTTCTAATAAGCCTACAGTAAAGCAAGGGATATAAAATGAAAATGAAATGAAAAAAGTAAAAGAACCACTTAAATCTTTAGTACTTGCTACCCGTCCTCCAGGCATCTCGAGTGGTGCCCGGGAGTGATGGCTTCCCATTTTAATCTTCTCTAAATGGAAGGGATGGCTGAAAGACCATTTACTGCGCCACAATAACTCTTCCTGGAATACTTTCCCAAAGCTGATTATGCTGTCCACACAGGGATTTTGATTTCTTAAACTGGTTCCATAAAACAGAGATGCATAAGTTACAACCCCGGTGCATCATTGAGCAGGATGAATCATGCTGGAGCCTCTGTCGTGGCCCAGCGTCTGCCTGGCAAGACAGTGTTTTTTCTTCCACACTGCTTGCACATCCGTAGATACCAAATCTGGCACTTGGGTTAAGATCAGATTTAAGATCAATTTTTGTTTTTTAAGTGACTCGAGTGAGTCTTCCTCAATCTTCCACTGGAACGACAAGGATAAGTCCAAGGAGAGGGACCCAGAATGGAACATGTACACACACACACACACACACACACACACACACACACAATTATAAAAAAAATGAATCGATATTCTTCATTCAAAGGAAAATAGAAAGAAATGAGAGCCTGAAAAAAATCAGGTTGTAAAAAGTCTGCCATGCTGCAGACACCGTTCAGCTTGCTTGTTTGAGAACACAGTTAGGGCAGAGAAAGGCCATGGTAGTTGGAGGAGAAATGATCTCTCTGCAGAGACTGAGGCCGACTGCTGCGTGCCCCGGCTGCTGGGCCGGATACTGTGAAAACAGCACAGGCAGGTTTATCTCCGGGGAGGAAGTTGTTGCTGCTGTTTTTCAACATCGTGTGCAAGTTTGTGCTCTCACACGTGGCGAGGGGACTCTTGGGGAAAGTCATCAATTTGCCATGTTAACCATTAAGGGAGAAACTGACAAGGAAAACGGTGCTGGAAAAATCGGGTTTCTTTCTAGCCGCATCAACACGGGAGAAAGGCAGCGGCTGCCCATTATTTCTTGGAAACAAGTAACTTGTGTGGGAGGAAAAGGAAAGGAAGATCTCTCGGGCTTGATTTCCTCACGTGAGCACCCTTTAAAATACGATTTCCAAAGAGCACATTGCAAAGGGGCAGGGGAAAGGGCACAATAACGTCCCCAAGCTCTGATTCCTCTAGAAAATATAGGGACTTCGGTGGCTTTCGGGAAGCCCAGCTCTGAATCAGTTTGTGGATTTGGCAGTTGAATGGTAACATCATATCACATTAGTAGGTGAAGAGACCCTCAATATACTCCAGGGCAGTGGTTCTCACCCTTCCTAATGCGGAGACCCTTTCATGCAGTTCCTCATGTGGTGGTGACCCCCCAACCATTAAATTCTTTTTGTTGCTGCATCATCACTGTCATTCTGCTACTGTTATGAATTGGGTGCCCCCAGAACCGCTGCTCCAATGGTATCCTTCAGTGCATAGCTGAGGAACTGATACAGATATTAAGGGGCTAGCTCCAGCTTGTTCTAGTTATTGGCACATTGTTCATTACATTTAAGGTTCCCTATCTCCCAGTAAAAGGCTTTTTCCACTAGTTTAAACTTTCTTTAGACATTTCACCAAATCAAATAGAAGTTCTATTTGATTCGATGGGCAATAGGCATTGAGGACAATCAATCAAACACACGAAAGGATCCTTTTTGGCTCACTTCTTCAATGGCTCTTTTCGAGTTACCATGCTGACCTTTTAAATGTGGATCAACTCGATTGGTTCCAGCCATGTTTCACAGCCCTCATCCCATCCCTAGCCTCTTAGAGTCTGATGACAGGGTCCCTGAGACTCACCTCCAAAGCAGTCATGTTTCTCTGGTTTACTTCAGATAAGTGGTTAGCTTCTCTGATTTTATCTGTGGCTTCTCTCAACAGGTCCCACGCTTCATCAACCTTGTTGTTGTTGTCAGCCAGTTTCTCTCGCAGATCCTTTTCCAGGTCTTCATTTCTCCCCCGAGACTCTCCAAACAGCTTCTTCACTTTCTTCAGAAGGGCTTCTGCAGCTCTGAAACCACCCCACCCAATGAGACACGCAATGAGCTCAGGTCAGCACCTGGGAGCATTGTATGAGACTGTGCTGCAGAGAGATGCCCACATCGCCAGAAGGAAAAAGAAGCAAACACTTGAAAGCAGATCTGCTATGTAAAACAAATTGGAAACGGTTACCTGAAAATTGGTAAGACCGTTTATAATTAAAATTCATGCAAAAACAAACCTCTTTTCTAGTCATTAGTGGCATGACATTTTCAATTGGGAAAGGTCTAGAGCCATTCTCAGACTCTGTTGAAATTGTTTTTATGATTCGTTCACATACCTCCCTCTCCTCTCCATGCCCTCACCCAAACCATCTCTTTTACAATTATGACACGTCTCTATCCCTTTGAAAGTATACTTGGATATTGATATGTCAGGTTAGAAACTGAACAAAATCTATGCTATTGCCGTGATAATTTAATGTAACTTTAATTTACTTTTCTTCTTCTTTTTTTCTATTGGGATGATTTGAGAATTTTTGCAGTTTAACTTGACAGTGAGAGTGCCTGAATCCTTAAGACAGGTGAAATACTTGAAAAGCAATCCTTTTCAGCTTCATGCATTGCAGTTACTAAAGGGATTGGGAAGAGCAGAGATCGCTGGGGCCTCCCACAAGGTTTCTGATACAGGAGGGCAGGGGCATGTAATGTAATTTGCATTCCTAACAAGTTCCCAGGTCTTGCTGATGCTGCTGACATTATATGCTATATAAATATTAACAGTTGAATCTCTTTGAAGTTAACTGTGAATATAAATAAAGGATCCTATTGAGTGTGTGATCACGGTTTATTAATGTTAGTAAAATCACTATCAGTTTTTCTAACCTAAAGTTTTAGGGGTTTCATTATTTGAAAACTCTTCAGTATCTTTCAAGATGGCAAACTGTTTGGATACCCTGAAAATTTAATAATTATGTAGGCTAAAAACCCCTATTACAGTGATTTAAAAATTAAGTTCCTTAACATAATTATAGAAGACACAAGAGAAAGACAAAATTTGCTTGACTACGAAGAGGGAAGAATATGCTATCAACTTATTTTAGGGTAAGATAAACTATAGGTAAATAAATAGTAAACATTCTCAGTTGAGAAAAAGCAAAGCATCATCCATGGATGTGAATAATGGAAAGCTTAGCCAACTGTAAATAAAAATGTGGAGTTTTGGGGTTTTTTTTACAGATCATTAAAAGACAAAAGGAAAAAGGCATGTCTACTCACACCAACTCATCTTCAGTAATTTCCTTTTGTGGCTCTAGATTTTTCCTCCTCAATATTCTCATCATCTGATCAATCTCTTTCTGAAGTCCTTGCAGATTTCTCTCCAAGGCTTTGTCTTGAGCTCCTAGAGTTTCATTCAGTTTTAAAGCTTTTTCATTAACAGCTGCAGGGGTCAAACAAATTCAGCAAATTAGTCATTAAAAATGTCAATGCAAAAATGGCATTTAGCATCTGCTCTTCCCCACCACCTCCAAGGGAAATGTAGTTCACCATGGGGATTCCCGCTGTGAAACAGAGGCGGTAAATACAGCGAGCTGTAGCAAACCGGAACATGAGGCCCATTTCGTCAGAGTTTTATTGAATTCTCTTAGGGGCACATTCATTCATGCATGGTGTTCCTACTCCAAGAGGAACTGTACATAAAGAAATTGGTTAAACCTTCTACGTGTAACAAGTACACACACACACACACACACACATATATACCTAGAAGCTAAAAATGTCAGATTTGCATTGTTATAAGTCATATTCCATCAATTTTAAAATATTGAGAACAGAAATGCTATCAACAATGAGATCTCTGAAAATGACATGGTCCTTGCAGCCACACAGTGTTTGTCTAGAATACATACATCTATGTCTATATATAATATGTATACACATATACAGAATATACACATATACAAATATAGAGACTATACATATTGCTGTCCATATGTATGGCTTATTGGCTATCTATATCTATATCTCTGTTGTAGCTATCTATATAAGCTATACCTATATCTACAGAAGTACTGGACTAAGCAAACGGTTATCGATTAGTTTTCTGGGTACCTTCCAGAATAACAGTCATCGTAAAAGTCCATGTTTTTATGTATTTAATGGGTTTCAAACTGTGCTTTTTTTTACCTTAAGGTTCTCCCGATACTTCAGGAATTCTATACGTGATGTTTTTGTTGTCAAGACTCTACTTTATTGGTTGTTGTTCTGGGCAAGATTTCATGTGTGAAAAGAATGCTGTCAAATGAGAGTCTGAAAACGTGGTGAACGGAAGCATTTACCCAGTTGTGTTAGTTTTGGATTAGCATTCCCAGAAGTGGGCTTTATGGACCTTAACTCTGGTGAGTTCAAAGGCGACATCTCTTCACACTCCTTCATCTGCTGGCCCTGGATCCCGAGAATGCCCACACTTGCACCAGTTGCCTTGAGTGGACTCCAGCTCATGACAAGGCCTGGGAGGCATGGCAGAACTGTGATGACAGGTTTTACATGCTGGTTTCTCTGAAGGAGCTCACTGGACTCGGTTTCTTTTGAGGCAATTCGGAGTGAACTGGAACCACCACCTTTGCAAAGCATTCCAAGAGTTTACCCTGGCCCTGGGGACAACACATCTGTGATATTATCTATGGACATTCTTTGAATAGTGGGAGGGTGGGGATAGTCGGGGACTTGGCCGAGAGGTATTTTCTAGCGCTTAAGTCTATATCCTAAAACAATCATAAGATAGAAGGAATCCTGAGACGTCATTTCTATTCTAGAAGAACTACTCCTGATATGCACTGGGTTGGGTTGTTACCAGAGAACTGGGGAGAGAGCTCCTGAAACAGACACACACCATTTAGGCAAACTAGCAGGCGTCCTCAAACTATGGCCCGCGAGCCACATGCAGCCCGCCAAGGACGTTTATCTGGCCCGCAGGGTGTTTTTGCCCCGTTTGTTTTTTTACTTCAAAATAAGATATGTGCAGTGTGCATAGGAATTTGTTCAGAGTTTTTTTGTGTTTTCTTTTTAAACTATAGTCCGGCTCTCCAATGGGTCTGAGGGACAGTGAACTGGCCCCCTGTTTAAAACTTTGAGGACCCAGAGGAAGGCGCTGGGTGACAGGCTAATACAGTGGTTCTCAATTACAGCCCGAAACCACCAACATGAGCACCCGAGAACTGGTTAAACGTGTCAACTCTCAGGTTCTCCCATTGACTCAGCCCTGTTGTGTAAGGGGTGAGCCAGACAGTTCCACAGCTTAGCAACCCTAGAGAGATCATCAGGAAGAACTCCCGACACAGAGCACTCCTCACAGCGCTTGCTACACGTGTGCCCCTCAGGCCAGCCACTCTGCCCTCCATCTTATCAGCGTCTTCTTCTTTGGGGCTGTCCTTCTACCTTACCAAGCATATTATCTTTTCCAGGGAATAATCCCTGCTGCTAACCTGTCTGAAGGATGTAAAATGAAGTCTTTCTATCCAAATGTATTCTGGCTGAACTTATGTCAAGACACATTTGTTCATTCTTTGTAGGCCATATGAGAACCAATACGCTTTTCCGTCAGAGTTTTCCAGTCTCCCGTGTTCACTCTGCAGCCTTCCCATGTAGATGGTATGGATGACTAAGCCAGCCTCAGGTCAGGCATACCTTAGTTTCCCAAATGGCATCTCTGCTTTTTCACACTCTAAAGAGGTCTTCTGCAGCAAATTTGCCCAATGCAATCTGTTGTTAGGTTTATTGCCTGCTGCTTCCGTTATGGGCATCAACATTTAAAACCTTTTACCATGATATTGTTTATTGGTCCAGTGACGAAGATTGCTGTCTTTATGTTGAGATAGAAGCCATCCTGATGGCTGTAGTCTTTGAACTTCCTCAGTAGGTGCGTCAAGTCCTCTTCACTTTCAGATGACAAAAGGCTGTGTAATGTGCACACTTCCTGTTGTTAGTGAGTCTTCCTCCCATCCCAGTGCCATGTTCTTCTTCACCCAGTCTTGCTTCTCTGGTTCTTTGCTCAGTGTACTGCTTGAATCAGTATTGTGAAAGACCAGAACCCAATGCACACTGCTGGTTTAAAACTGAAGGTTAGTGGCAGCAATCTGTTTTTAAAATTCCCGGGGGTGATTCCACTGCAGCTGAAGTTTGAACACCACTGGACTAGTGGAAAAGGAGCCCTGGCGTAGTGGGGTCAGCCTTGGGCTGCTACCCACAGGCCAGCAGTTCACATCCACCGGCTGCTCTGTGGGAGAACGTGAGCCATTCTGCTCTGGTGAAGATGATGCGCCTCTGTAGCCCATGGGGTCAGTTTGACTCCGCCCCGTAGGAATTAGCTCATGCCAGTGAGGGAGCGAGTGGGTGAGGTTTGTAGAACAAATTCAGTTTTGATCTTCAAACTACCCTTTTCCAAAATGATTAGGGACTATGTCTTAGCAAGGTAACACTTTCTTTGTTCACTAACAGTTATAGCTTGACATAAGGCAAAGAGTCTTCCCAAGACTCCGCCATTATTGTTAATGAGATATCACATAGTGTGTCAAGGTTCCCCGAAGTGGGATATACCACCTGCTGAGGGGGCTGGACCAGGGGGCCTGCACAGTAGATTACTATACGTAGTGTTTATGCTTGTGACTGCAATCCAAAAGGTCCACAGTTAGAAACCACCAACCTCGCCTTGGGAGAAAGACACAAACCGTTACAGCCTTAGACACTCACAGGGGCCAGTTCTCGCCTGCCCTTGATGGTCGCTATGGGTTGGCATTGACTCAATGGCAGTGAGTTTTTTATACTTTATCCTGATTATGGGCGCTACTTAAAAAATTTTAATTTCCAAGGCAATTAAAGGGCTGTAGGCCAAATAAATTTGGGAATCTCTGACTTAGAACATATATTATGAAACCAGAAGGCACAGATTAAATTACTTGACCATCAGTCAAGTAACTGACTGACCATCAGACTATGGAAGAACCAAATTGAGGTGACACACTGGTTAAGTGTCAAAGGATTTCTCCTCGATTTTCAGAAAAGCAGTCATGCGTTTGGCTACAGCTAGAGGATAGCCCTGGTCTTTAGTGTGAGTGCTGATCATTCATACAGCTGTCCTCAAGTGTTTGTAGCATAGAAATCACTACTGAGAACATTTGCATTTACTTATGTTCTTAAATGAAAATGTTAAACCCTCCTCCCAACCTGCCAAAGCTCTATGTTGTTCACATGCTCAGTATAAATGAGCTTTGATAAGATAGATTGCTTATGAAATATAATCTATTGGAGGTCTTAGGTCTAGGTGGTACTGAAGAATGGAGGAATGTGGGACACAGCTGCACTCTATCTAAGGGATTATTCTCAAAGCTAAGCTTCTGCATGGAACCAGTTGGTGCGGAGTAAAAATAATGAGAGAGAGAGAGAGAGAGAGAGAGAGAAAAGGCAAAGGTGGCTGATCATTTCAGAGCGATGTGACATTTCTTTTCAAGTAAAACAACATGTAAGCAGCTAGACGTCATGTATTTATGGGAATACACAACAAAGGCCCTTACAATATCAAGCTGCATTAAGAAAAGAAGCATCATTTTTTGTAGACAAGTTCTGATTACTCCATTGCTTATATAGATGGGACTTCTCAGAGTATTTTTAAACTGAAGACTGATACAACATTGATTTCCTCATTCAAAGGATACATTGTCACTGCAGTATGCCTCCATTTCAGAGTGCTGTAAATTTCTGCCATGTAAATATATCTTTTGAATTTACTTATAATCTAATGCCATCTAATTTCAAAGGACATTTAAGGTATTAAAAATACCACAAAAATAAGATAAAATTAAGAGAAATGGACATAAAGATAAAGGTGAAAAATTAATGCAAATCAGGGAAACCATGACTGGGCAGTAAGTCATAGCAGAATAGTCAGTGCAAAACACAAAGCAAACCTGTTGTGAATCTGTTCCAATTGCTGGTAATTCAATGTGTTTCAGAGTAGCATCACATTCCAAAGGGTTGTCAATGGCTGGGCTTTTATGGAAGTAGATCAGAGGTTCTTACTTCCACATCCTTAGCAGTCAAGTGCTTAACCATTTGCATCACTCATTCTTAGTAGTCAACACAAGATCAGTGGCTTTCTAGTCCAGTCCTACTCATGGTACCCCCTATGGGTCAGAGCAGAACGGTGCCCCACTGGATTTTAAGTGACCACCTGACTCTTCAGAAATACACCCACCAGGTGTTTCTTCTCAGATGCCTCTAGGCAAACTTGAACCTCCCAACTTTTGGTGAGCATTAGCCATTTGCACCACCAAGACACCCCAGCCAGTGAGGAGTGGAGGCAAGAAAGGGATTCTTGGAAAGTATACATGACTCATAAAAGATCAGTGAATGAATTCTAGGGTACTAGCAAAACTTCTTTTCATACTAAGCCTGAAAAAAAATCTTCTCTAATGGGTGGTGAATTTACTAGGAATGACAAATACTACTCTGGCATGAACCACAGGAAAGGATGATTTCTAGCATTTATTGAGTCCCATTATATGTCAAGATCACAGTAATACATACCCTCATTAATTCTAATGATGCATACAATAAGACATTTTATGATTTAATTGGGAGTTATAGTAGATGTTATAGAATTAGAGTGTGATGAGAATGCCTTAAAGTAATAGAAGCTGATTGTCTATTATAAAGAGGTCATGACTTTTAATAGAAGATAAGATGAGTAAAGTGTTTGATCTACTAAAAATGAAACAGATAGACAAATGCCAAGCTCAAGTATGTACTTTTTTACAGTAATTTTACTGTAACTGAGCCTAAAACGCTGATGAATACCCCTCATTATTGTAGCTTTGAGAGGCGAAGAAACTCTATGGATATGTTGCAAAACCTCCTGAAAGTCTCAGGTGAGGTCTTCCTCTGTCTGTGTGTGTGTCTTAAGGTACCAAGGATTATAATACATATTCACATCACATGGAAAATTTATTTAAGAATCTGGCATTTCAGGCTCGAACTTTCATTAGATTTTAGCAGTTGGATTAATTCTACCAGGTATTTCATAAAGGATGATGGTTAACAAATTTGGCAACCTTTATGCTGGTGCTTAGTGGCAGAAATGAACAATTTTTCCATTTTTCTCAGGCCCAGCATCGGACATGGCACAATGTGAACTAGGAGAAGGCATCCTATTTGGACAGACATCATGAACGGCCCGACTAAGGTACCATGAGGGGCTGAGAGAGGGCCCTTTCTTTGTGTGGCGAGGTCAGGGTTTGTGGTTGGTGCACAAAGGCTGGGTAGTGTCGTCTCTATTCTGCCTGCTTGAATGATGTCTTTGTGTGGTACACACACTATAGGGAAGACACAGATACCAACATGGCGGCCATGAATATGCATCTGTGGCAGAAGGTGGGGACTCAGTGTAGAGAAAGAAATAAGCAGTGTCGTTACCCAGACTTATTAAAACACATACCGTCATTTATTCTCATGTCATCACATTTGTGGGAAACCGTTTAACACTCAGTCCCCAGGAGAGCTTGCTGAGGGTTGAGTGTTTGCTTGTTCAAATGGAAGCAAAGGGAAAGTTACTGGAGTATTGACCGGGGCCTCCAGGTGGAGGTAAACTGCTCGAACTGCAATAGAAGTTCATTGTTTTGTTGTGGACACTTTCAAGCCATAACCACAATATAAATTCTGAGAAAATGAACACAGAATATAAAAGCACCACTACTTGTAAAGACACAGCCACAATAACTTGGTGCAGATTTTCCTGAGGGGGGTAGCTTCTGTTTCAAATCAGGGGAGGGCCTGCCTCAGGCTCTGTCTCCCAACAATGCTATTTCTTGCAGTGGGGAATTTGGGGGAGTTTCCATCTCTTTCTTAGCCAGTGCTTCCTAACAATGGGTTAGGCATTTCCTTGAATGTCATCTCTAGTCCTGACACATTTGGTTATAATACCAAGAAAAGTACGGAAAATGCATAATCTTATCGGACAATAAAAATGGCAAATAGTTGTTCCTGCTTTCTCAACATGGAAGCAAGTTAGATATATATTATAATTTCCTTACTAATATTAGAAGATATGTAAGAAATAATTTGGTGGGGTGGGGGGGGGGGAACGCACGGATTATAAATCCTTTTAAGAGTTTCTTAATCTGGGCTTTCACTCAAGAACTGTTTCCACATGATTTTTCCATCATGCTGATAGATGCCATGAATTACGTCCTAGATTGTGCAGTAAATGCAATACGGCTCCTGGTAATGTAGTACTTCCAAATCCCAAGCAACAGATGTTCATTAAAAACCAGTAGCAAACTCATTATGAGAAATTAAAATGCTGCTTTAATGTACCAAATGGAATGATAAAATTAGTTTTCACACATACACAAAAGAAATCTTTTAAATGCTTTGAATACAAACAATAGCAAAGCATCAATTGTAGATGAGGCACTTAATCGGATTAGCCATTCCTCAAGAATTGGAGAGTTCTGAGAGAATGCCTTTTGTTTACTGCTATTTAGGGTCTACAATGACAAATTCATTGACTGTTGTCACTAAGTCAACACTGTAGGTTATAGATTCTTAGCAGATAATATTCTTGAATTTCTTGGCCAAATTACTTTTTTAAAGTCCAGCCCTCCAATCTAGAAATGTCATCTCTCCTGAGAGAAATTACAGTTCTGTGTAATCCCTTCCCCTCTTTTTCTGTTGGGAAAAATAAATATGAAATTGTGATTTTTCAATACCTTCTGCATCCTGGACAAGCTCCTTAATGGATTCTCCTAGTGATTTTGCTCTCGCGTGGGTCCTCTCAGCATCCTGTCCGGTTTGCTCGCCATCGGCTGTCACTTTGGTGGCCTAATGTCCCCAATCCAGAAAAAGCATCATTAATAGGGATGATGAAGCTACAGCTTGCTAAGCTCCCCCTGGCTACATTTTCTTTCAAATACTACTTTGAGCCAAAGGCAATCGATGAATTATTGATCAGATGTACTGGAAATGACACCCTGGGCTCAACTATACAATTAAACTTTATTACTTCTTCCATTAAATGGAAATCAGAGAACCGTATTTGGTCCTTTAAAAACCATCGTTACATGCAGTGGCACACAAGAAGCAATAAAAAACAATTATTTTTGAAATATCTTTAAGGTACTCTCGCCAAAAGTCTTTAATGGATTCTCCCATCTCCACGTGTTGTTTTGCTCTATTTTATTTACTGAAAAAGTGTGGAGTTCAGTAATGATCTCTTGAGGGAGGCACACACAGTCTGTCTCAATAAGCTTGATCCTATAGATTCACTTTAGATCAATACGTTAATTAAAGAAACAAAGAGGAAGAAATGCTTAGCTACTAAGTAGTAAATGCTTATTTTATAACACTTTAAAGATGCCAGGAAAACATTAAGAGAGAATAACTGTTAACTTTTCCCCTCTGACATTCCTAGAAAAGAAGACAATTAATCACAGAACCATACATCATTATCAACTAAATCAAACAGCCCAACCACAGACCCCTATTCACCCCAAACATATTCTCATACACTTTCACTTTATTTTTTAAGCTATTTATTTAAAAGTTCTATTGGTATAGAATTCACAGATCACACAATTCAATCAGTTATTCATATTAAGAAGAGTTGCTTCAACCATCACCACATTCAATTTTTCACCTTTAATTGACACTCAAAATGGCACATGACACTTAATGGACTTACTGTCTGCAGAGTAAAAGATAAACCGTGTTTAGCCCAAGAAGAATGATATGAGAACTTTTTAAAGTTTCTTAAAAGGAGATCCCAGGATTTAAAACACATTGAAATAGGTTTTTACTTGTGTGTGTGTGTGTGTGTGTGTGTATGGAAATTATCTTTTACTAAAAAGATATTGATGTTATAACTATAGGTAATAGAGAATAGAATGGTAAACTGTCTCAATATAATTTTGAATAATGTCTAATACTCTACAATCTCCATACCAGAGTACTTATACTCTGGACATGACCAGAAAATCTAGTTATTTTCACACATAAGTGGATTTTAAATAGAACTAAATGTCTGCCCAGCATAGAACATGGTAAGAGATACTACAGGGATTGTATAGCATTTTCTGATTTCCCAGGGGCAGCAAGAGGTTTAATTTATGAAAACTTGAGATCTTGCACAAATGGTAGAATATAATATTCTACTATTATCACATAATTTATCAGCCTACAAGTGTTACAAATACAAGCTATAGAACAAAAGGATACGAACCCACTGGAAGTTGTAAAATATCCTCTTTAGAATTTGTAGCATGTGTACACAATGAATTGCAAGGTGTTAACGGGAGCATGGGTAACTCAAGTGGTTTGCAATTGGCTGGTAACCAAAAGCCTGGCCGGTTAAACGGACCCAGCGGCTCTATGGAAGAAAGGGCTGGCAAACTGCTTCAGTCCTGATTCTGACCCAGAAAACCCAACAGAGCAGTTCTATGCTGAACACACGGGGTCTCTGGGAGCTGGTGTGGCGACTCAACGGCTAACAGGAATAACAATCAACGGGTTCACTGCTCTGCATTTATTCTTCTAAAAGAGTAATAATGGAATTAATTTTCACTCGTATTCTTAAATTTCTTGCATGCAAACTGGTCATGAAGTTCCTAAATTAACAAAATCCCTGCTTTGAGGGGTATGTGTTGAAATGATGCCTTAGCAATGTCCTGAAACACGGTTCTATCCACTTGCCTGGCAGACTCACACTGTGTTCTCTCTCTCTCTGTCTCTCTCTCACACACACTTTCGTAAATGTTCCTATTGAAAAGCTTATTTTGAACTTGGAAGCAAATGAGGTTGTAGGCTTTCCATGAAGTTATAGTCTTGGAAAGTTAGGGAAGAGTGTTACTCTGACTCTAGGGACCCTCTGAGACAGATTGACTTCATGGTCGTGGACTGGAGTTGTTGGTTTGAATCACTAGCTAGGGTTGATTGCTACAAATGTTGGCAGGTGACTCCATACAGTGTGTGCAGTTTGGGTTTAGCAATGCTCTCTGATACCGCTTCACATATCACATGGGATCACCCCAAGAGACTTGGTTTAGGTTACAGTTTTATTCTGATGACACATGCAAAGCTAGCTAGCAGCAGCATACTTTATTGTTGTTGTTGTGGGGTACCTTTGAGTTGCCTCCAACTCATGGTTACCTGATAAACAACAAAACAAAGGAAAACACCATCCAGGGCTCACATACTTGAGCACACTGCCAAGTCACTCCGTCAGTCCTTCTCATTCAAGATCTTCTTCTTTCTTGCTGATCCTCGACTTGACCATCCATGATGTACTTTCCCCGAGACGTTCACTCCCCATCCCTGGTGGTTCAGTGGGCTGTATGTTGGGCTGCTAACTGCAAGATAAGCAGTTTGAAAACCACCGGCCCTTCTGCTTGAGAAAGATGAGGCTCCCTACTCCTGCAAACGTTCACAGGCTGTGAAACCCACAAAGGGAGTTCTACCCTGTCCTACAGGGTCACTGTGAGTTGACTTGATGGTGTGGATTTTTTGAGAGGTCCCTCCAATGTACGTCCAAAGTGTTTGAGATTATGCCTCTCTTCTGTGACATAGAAGGAAGATTTTGGCTATATTTTTCCAACACAGATTTGTTTGTTCCTTTGACAGTCTCTGGTATAATCAACATATTTTGCAACAGTATAATTCAAAGGCATCCACCCTTCATCAGTCTTCCTTACTTAGTGTCCAGCATTTGCATGCAATAGGAAGTCAATGAAAATCCCATGGTTTGGGCTAGGAACACCTTAATCTTCAAAGGGATATCTTTTAACACTTTAAAGAGATACTTTTCAACAGATTTTCCCAGTTAACTTCTTGAGTGCTGCTTCCATGGGCATTAGCTGTGGGTCCAAGTAACATGAAATCCGTGTCAATGTCAATCTTTTCTCCTTATTGATCTCATTGGGGTGTGCTGGTCTATAATCCATCCTGAAGGTGCAGCCTTTGATCTTCATCAGCAAGTGCTTCAAGTCCTCTTCACTCTCTAACAAGGTTGTATTATCTGAATATTGTAAATTGTTTAAGGATCTTCTTCTACTCTGGATGTTGTGGTAGTCTTCTTATAGTCCCGTTTCATGTATTGTTTGCTCAATATACAGATCAAATAAGTATAGAAAAAGAATAAAACCCTGACACACTCTCTACCTGAAGTTAAACTGTGCAGAATTCCCTTGTTCTATGTGATTAACTGCCTATTGGTCTATGTACAGGTTTTGCATGAGCATAATAATGTGCTATGTAATTTCCATTCTTTATAATGTTATCTATAATTTTTTTTACAAAAACAGCTTTATTGACATATAGTTCACATAGAGTACAATTCAATAGTTCAAGCATATTAAAACATTGTTCAATCATCATCAGAATAAATTTGGATTATCTAGATAGTGTTAATTATGTCAATTCTCTTCTGCTTGTATTCAACTTGTATTTATTTACAGATTTATTTAGTAATTGCAAGAGTCATCACTAACAAACATTGTACTATTAGCACTGATTTGTGCACACTTCAGTATTAAGTTGTGATGAATTATACATCACATACAACAAGAAACAAGTTACAAAAACAAAGTGATTTGTCTATGAGGCCTTATGCAATCAACTCGCAGGAGTCCTTGTAGTGTATTAGACATGCCAAACTTTTTAAAAAAAACTTCCTATATTCTATTCTCCTTAAAGAGGTTTTAGAACTTCAAAGTGAACATTGGTTTCATTATCATTATCCTGGAATAAGACACTTTTTGTGACTGAATTTGTGTCACCATCAGTTTGGGCTGCAGTGTCTCATCCATAGTATGGGCATTTCCAGGCCACGGAAGTGGTCCCCATAGCATCCAAGAGAACACATTTCCATTATAACAGAATGAATTGCAGAATTACTTACTGATGGGTTGATTTATCGGTTTGCTAACTCCTCAGCTAGATGGGGAGCTCCAAAAGATGGAGAACTTGGTCTTCTTATTCCTTTATGTACAATTCCTTAGCATAAAGTATACACTCCTTGGTGGTTGTTAACTGTATGACTGAACAACAATGTTCCTAACTTAGTTCACCATTCTCACTACCACTTTGATTGACTACTTACTGCTTACCTTTCCTTGAACATTCTCAGAAAAAGCGTTTGTTCACGCTATTGCTTCTTAATTGCTCTGCAGTTATCCAAAATAAGTCCAGCCTTAAAGATTTAGATTCAACCTCACCTATTCTGTGACTATGCTAACACAGTCCTTATTTTTCCAAAAGTCAATGATCATCACCTCCATTCATGTCTGCAGCGGCTAATTACTTTGTTAGGCGTTTTCTTCTTTCTATCTAATATCTAATCTCCATTGTAATATCTATCCTTGGAAGCTGGGTCTATGATTTCTTTGTTTCTTTTTTCCAGAATGCTAGGAACAGAGTCTGACAAATTGTTGGCTTTCCAACACATTCCATATTTGAATGACATAATGATAGTCAAATCAATTATTCCTTTGTATTCCTAAGACTTCTTTCAGAAGAAGGAATCTGTTATATTAACTACCATACATACTCGAGTATAAGCTGATCTGAATATCAGCCGAGGCACCTAATTTTACCACAAAAGCTGCATTAAAAATGTGCTGAAAAACTCAGCTTATACACAAAAATATACGGTATGTGCCAGTGCTAAATTTGTTACTGAATGTCCCTAGATGGCAGTTTTTTGGGTAGCTTCCAGATCCCCATAGGAAGCTTTTACTCAAGAGCTGTAGGCTAGTACTTGGGAAGAGAGCCACCAACATGCACCACTAATCCCAGCTGTATTCTAGTCACTGGCAGTGCAAAGATGGGCC